GAATTTTCTGTCTATTACTGTATCATCTTTATCTTACAATATAAAACCACTTCAAAACTGTTGTTTTGATTTGGCGCTATATAAATACAAACAAATCTAATTACATTTTAAAAATCTTTTCTAAAAGTTGTCTCTGCCATCTCCTAAGAATTTTCAGACGGCTTAATTACATTTGTCTCCATCTCTGCCCTGCAGGCTGTCTTCGACTGCGTGGTCAACTCTCTGAAGAACGTGTTGAACATCCTGATTGTCTACATGCTCTTTATGTTCATCTTTGCTGTGGTGGCCGTTCAGCTCTTCAAAGGTCGCTTCTTCCATTGCACAGATGAATCCAAGGAGTTTGAGCGCGACTGCAGGTGGGTTCAGATGTTCTCTGTGGAGTCGATCTTTGGTTACCAAGAAATAAATGTTACAGTCTTTATGGCTATACTGCCACCTAGAGGAGCTTGCTCGGCATCAAATTCTGCTTTTTTCAATAGGAAAATGCTATTAATGAACACTGGGCCAACCAACCAACTTATTATTATGTCAAATATAAACAAAGCAGAAATATGCCTTTAAGTATGAGTATACATATAGCTATGGTGCTTTTGTGAACTCACATTTTTACATATTGGCTGATGTTTTTCATGTGTTTGTATTATTTAAAAAAACGTGTTGTGCCATCTCACCAGGGGCGAGTACTTGGTATATGAGAAAGATGAAGTTAAAGCTGAAAAGCGGGAGTGGAAGAAGTACGATTTCCACTACGACAACGTGGCTTGGGCCTTGCTCACCCTCTTCACCGTCTCAACTGGAGAGGGTTGGCCACAGTGAGTGGATTACAAACACACACAGAAACCCACACACAAACTCATTTTTTTGATCAAATTTGTTACTGCTATACAAATTTTACTTTGTGACAGCGAGAGTTTTACTTCAGCACACAAAAAGTTTTCTCTTAAGCAACGATTGTTAATATATGAAGTTCCTCTTGGTGCTGCTGTATGTAAAAATAAAATGTAAAACTGAACTGAATGAGTGAAACTGATAATATATGTATCAGTACATTTTTATTTAGCCTTTTTCCTCCATCTCTCCCTTTTTTTAGGGTGTTGAAGCACTCAGTGGACTCCACCTATGAGAATCAGGGCCCGAGCCCAGGTTACAGGATGGAAATGTCCATCTTTTACGTGGTGTACTTCGTTGTCTTCCCCTTCTTCTTTGTAAACATCTTTGTGGCTCTCATCATCATCACCTTCCAGGAACAGGGGGATAAGATGATGGAGGACTACAGCTTAGAAAAAAATGAGGTGTGGAGAGAGATTAAAGTTGCTTTGTGCTTTTTCAGATGTCTTGTGCCAAAGATAAATTAACCGTAACGCGCCTCCCCTCTCTTCTCCTCATCCAGCGAGCTTGTATAGATTTTGCCATCAATGCCAGGCCTCTGACTCGCCACATGCCAAAGAACAAACTGAGCTTCCAGTATCGTATGTGGCAGTTTGTGGTATCTCCGCCCTTCGAGTACAGCATCATGGCTCTAATCGCGCTCAACACCATCGTCCTCATGATGAAGGTAGAAGTCGCCCTCTGAGCGAAGTATAATGCATCATATGTCACTAATGCCGTTCTCATTGCTTTCCCGTCTATGTGTGTGTCTGCAGTTCGAAGGTGCATCACTGGTCTACAATAATGTCCTGAAGAACCTCAACATTGTGTTTACCACCTTCTTTTTCTTGGAATCAGTGCTCAAGATCATAGCATTCGGCCCTCTGGTGAGACTTTAAATGAAAACGACCTGCACACAAAAACACACTTTCCTTATGTAGGCTGACCCAGTCTATATGCACCAATATTTCATCCTATTATTCATTAATAAAGCAGGTTATTTTGGGAGACAGATCTAGATCATGTTTTTCTGGAGAAACCCAGAGTGCACCGTGTGGAGCAGTAGTCATGCTAGCAGCCTCCTTTCGCCCTGTCTCTACTGTAACATCAGCACTATTGGATCAGGGCTCCTTACCTCCTTCTGGCTTTAGGTTGTGAAAGATGCAGATCTTTAAACGTCTCTCGTTTTGTTGTCTTTCTTACCTGACAGAATTTCTTCAGAGATGCCTGGAACATTTTTGATTTTGTGTCTGTCCTTGGAAGCATCACTGACATATTAGTGACAGAGTTTGGGGTAAGTGCTGTACGGTGTTTGGACCAAATGAACAATAAAGAATGATTTGTCGAATATAAAAGAGGCTTTTTTGCACATGTGGTGACTGGCCTTTGGAGACGTCTGTGAACTCCTTAAAATGAGGCAATCACTACCCAAGGCCTCACTGAAACCACTAACAGACAGAATTATTAAGTCATGGCCTGTATTAAAGCAATTTATTCATGAGATATTAAATTATTTTCGATGCAAGAGATATTCAATATTAAGGCTTAAGCAAGACAATGAGGAATCCTTCCATAAATCTTGCTTAGCCTTCTGAAGTCATCAGTCCATCATAAATAAATAATAGCTTCGGACTGATTTTTGGATCATTTCTTAAAAGTAATCTGGATCAGTAGGTTGCCACCCAAAAAAGTGTCCTCACATTATGTAGATGCACATTTGCAAAAGTGGGACTCAAAGAAAAGAAGGCAGTCACTGGCCGCTCCTCCTACTATGGAAGCTACGGTAGATGGTGAACATTGTATCACGGTGCAGCTGTTGTTTCTAGTTCATTTTGAACCTGTCTTCAGTGAGCAGTCTCTCGATGTTACCTGTGAGTTTGTTGGTACTTGTATGTGTAATAGTATGTACATATGAGTTAATGTAAGTGTGGATATGAGACCAGTACTTCAGTAGAAGTTTCAGCCTCTCTTCACTGTCCAGCTGTTGTATCATTTTTGCTTGGTGTGTTTTGAATTTGGCATCAGGCTTTGTTATACTAAGTCTTCCTCTCGTTCACACTGACTAGATTAGCAGTAACTGTGCTAAGTACTGCCGTCTAGCAGTGTTTGCAGATGATTAAAAACACCCTCTGGCCGTGTTGGAGGGGCCACATTTGTATGTGAACAGGCCTTAATTGACACCTATGCTGCTTCAAACAGTGAACTGATTGTTTCAGACAGCTGATTGATTTTTTTGTCAGGATGCTGCCAGGTGGTAGCAGTTGAACTGCTGGTTCCTGGCTCCGCAAGTAAATTTGAGTGTTCATAATAGCTAACACTTACTTTTGTTGTGACTTTTCATACACAGCCAAAAACAGCTTTTGGTTAAAGTTAACTGAGCTGGCTGTATATTTACAGAAAGAAAAAAAACCCAATAAGATTATTATTTTTCTCTTTAACCCTCTCCATGCAGACATTGCAGATTTGCAACAGTTAAGACCTAACAACCTGATTACCCCACATACATATTTTATGAGTTTTTTTTACTCAGAAGTACCACTGCAGGACTTGGTTGTGCATTAGCAACAAAAAACTTAATTTGGGCCTGAGAGGGTTAACATCTTGGCTTGCTTTGTGTCTGGTTCATTGTTAAAGATTTGACATATCTGCTAAACAGAACGGCACGAAACACCAGTCAACTCAAGAGCATCCCAGACAAGTTAATGACTAAACACTAATGTATGTAGAGGTCGATTCATTTTTGTCTAGTTTTAGGATCTGGACAAATAATAACACTTCAAGCAAATATCCGGATTCTTCCGTTTAGTGTTTTAAAAGGAAGCTGTTGTTTCTTTTTTTTCTTTCTTTTGTACAACACCAATACCAAAAAAGTTGGGACCCTGTGTAACATGTAAATAAAAGCAGGGTGCAATGTTTCACAAATCTCACAAACCCATATTCTAGCTGCTCAAGAGTCCTGGGTCTGGTTTGTCATAGTTTCCTCTTGCACCCATGTTGTAGTCACAGCCCTGTCTTTGCTCACCTGCTGTACAAACCTGTTTGCAAGAAGCAGGAAATTAGAAGATAGTTGGCTTCAAAAGGGAGAGTTCTTGTAGCTTATCTCTGTCAGTGAGGGCTTGTGTAAGTTATGAATCATGCACACCTACTCCACTAGTGTCAAAGAATAAAAAATATGGAGCAGCAAATTGCCTTTGACTTCAAATAAACGAACTTTGGTTAATGAAAGCTGGAAAAGAAGAGAGGCTGAACTTACTCTTTCCCAAATGAACTGCTGTTGTCTTGAAGTGTTTCAGTGCTTTTGTGACGCCCATATTGATTCTGTCTTCCTCTTCTATCTCTTCACATGCTTTCTTTAAACCTCTCTACTTTGTTGGCGCCCTACGCCCCTCCCACTCCCTCCTCCTCTGATAAAATCCATCCAATCAAAATGCACTATGAAATCCTTCATCGTGTTCTCCATCCATGCTGCACCATGACATGTGGTGGTGGTCCTGTGATGATGATGATGATGATGGTGATGGTGTGTGTTCCATGTCCAAATAAAACACACAACCAACACCCGCCAACCCACCCACTTACCTTCTCCCCTCCTCCAAAAAATATCTTTCACCCACTCACATTTTACTACAAATGAAAACAAAAATCCTCCCATTCCTCTTTCTACATATTGGCATATGTAGAATCCGGTTGGTTTGTAATTTATCTCTCAAAAACTTTCTCCTGCATCTTCATTGACTGTGCACACCCTCGATTCATTTGTTGCTCCCCAGTCACCTGCTCTCTCATGGCCAGTCTTAACCCTGAACCCAGTGCATGCGCTTTCTGGATGTTGGACTTTTAAACTCTCTGAACTTCCTGGTCACAGTACTTCACTCATCCGTGGACTGAATGTAAAATAGTTCAGGTGGCTCCTGGGACTTCATTGATCTGTGAGGTCGATGGACATTTGTCCTCCAAAAAATTAAAGGAACACTTTAAAAACACATCAGATCTAGGTGGGGTGAGGGGGTGTGGGGGCATGCTGGATATCTACACTTATAAGGACTAATGTGTTGGGGGGGGGGAGGATACCACATTAATATATGGAAATGAAAATTATCAGGCTAAAGAGGGTTGAATTAAAAGACACTATAAAAATAAATAACGAGGCACGCTAGTCTATTTTAGTCAATTTTGCCAAAATTTTATTGCAGCAGCTCGAAACAGTACTCAGTAGTTTGTTTGGCCCCCACATGCTTGTATCCATGCCTGACAATGGTGGGGCTTGCTCCTAATAACAAAATGTCCTGGGGGATCTTCTCCCAGATCTGGACCAGGTCTACAACCACTAATCACAGTCAGTTGCCGTCTTTGAAGCAAGTTAGGTGAGTCAAGATGGACTCAGTCAACTATCATTTTATGATTAAATGAGGTCACGTTAGCAAATTCATGCAGACTATTTTTAATAATGCACCATGAAAATCACAAATCTGTTAATATCTACATACAGTGCTGTAAAAACATATTTGCCTCCTTCTTGATTTTTTATTTTTTGGATATTGGTCCCACTTAAACGTTTCAGATCATCAAACTAATTTTAATATTATACAAAAATATAAAATGCAGCTTTTAAATGATTATTTCATTTACTAAAAAACATTATTCAGACCTATCCTGCCCTGTAAAAAAACGAATTACCCCACTAAACCACACTAGACGCATTATTTCTGTATTATTACAAATAGATTACATGTATTTGCTAACTTGACCCCAATAAATAGTGAAAAAGGATTGCACAGTGACTCCATCCTATTGCCGTTCTGTTACCATCTTGATGCACCAAAGTTGCTCCAAAAACAGCAGCTGACCATCAGTCTAGTAACCATTTTACAGGCAACAAGCTCATAGCACATGGCCACCGTGTCATTACACCTGGGCCAAGATTACCAGGTGTTATCTTTTATATACAGTCTATAGATTCATCCATAAAATTTCCAGTAGTTTGGTAAATTTCATGCCAGGGTTACTGATTAAGAACACGAGGTGGACAGTTTTATTGCTTACAAGGCAAAGCCAAACTTTTTTATATTTGAATTCTGTAGTTTGAGATGTCTGCGTTCCTCACAAGAATGTATCAGAGTATTAAATCTTCAAATACAGTTAAAAGTAGAATCTGCACCAGTGGCCCTCTCTGGACTGCATGTCGGCCAGCTCCTTTCTCCTAAAGTATGCTGCCTGAACTGAGGCTGCTCTCTGGTCCTTCTCCCACGCCTTCCTCTATACCACTTCTTCCTCATCCTCCTCTTTTTGTCTTGCCTTTGAACGACAAAATGCCAGAGCCTCACCAGAGTTTGGCTGTTGTGTGTGAAATATTTTCTCTGTGTGACATGCCAAAAAAGCAGAAATAGGCTCAGTACAAATTCCCAAGGGCATTGGCAAAGATCCCAGCAGTAAGAATCACATATTTACATTTAACTTATCAGTTGTTTTCAAAAGGGAACAAAAAATGCCAAAATCTTTAGGACGTACAGGCATCTATATCTTAATGTCACTCTAAATTAAGGTTTGTCAAATACTGATTGGTTGTTCTCCTCTAGAGACAACAGAGAGCAACCTAGCTTCCTCTAGATGGGAGCAAACTCAAGCCATGCTCTGTTAGGGTTTGTCATTATGTGTGTGTGTGTGTTTGTGGTTGACAGGCACATTGCACTATGCTCCATCTGATGTGGCCTGCTTGCCCCCACCCTCCCCAGAGATCAGTGCATTTTGTTCTCTTAAAAAAACTGTTTTGTTGTATCAGATTGGATGATGACCTTTAAACTCTTAAGACTCTTCTTCTTCTTTTTTTTCCTTCCTCCTTTTTTCCTTTCTGTCTTTTTTCCCCTTCAGCCTTTTTACTGACAGCCGTTATGTTTGCAGTTGCATTCATTTAGTTGGTTTTGACTTCCCTTCTCTCTTTTTCTTTGTCCTCTCTTTCTTCAAGTGTTGATTTTGTTTTTTCTGTTCGTTAGAGGACTGCTGTGCAGGTGCGGCATACTCGGTGAAACTCACTGTGTTCTCCCTTTGTGCTCTAGAATAATGCCTTCAGTTTGAGCTTCCTGAGGCTCTTCAGAGCAGCTCGCCTTATAAAGCTGCTGAGACAGGGAGAGACCATTCGCATCTTGCTGTGGACCTTCGTCCAGTCCTTCAAGGTATTCAGTCAATAAATGACACAATCAAAAGGTGTGCACATGTCACAATACACTTAATGGGACTAAAAAGTGTTTCCTATCTGCCGTGCTAGGCTTTGCCATACGTGTGCCTGCTTATTGCCATGCTGTTCTTCATCTATGCCATCATTGGCATGCAGGTGAGTACTGCTTACAGAGTCCTGAGATTTTTACATTTGATGGGTTGGGACAGTTAAATGCTTCAGCAACAGTGTGAACAACACAGAATCTGTTCACAAAGGATAGAAGTGTCTATCCTGTATCCAAAGGTTTACTTACATTACACATCATAGAAGTGCAAGTAAAATAAAAAGAGGTTAAATTAAAGATCTTCTTGTGCAGTCACAGTACATCTCATAAAACATGTCATATACATGCCTCAGAACCGCTACGGGAACACTCCATCATCACAATGTGGCACAAGTCAGTTAAACTTCAGGGATATGAGGCTGTCCGCAACTCTGAATTGGAGTGGAATAAAATGAATGGATGGAACCACCAAAAATATTGTTGCATCATAACTAACTAGACAGATTCATATAGCTGACGTTTGACTTTGTGTTTAACTGTGATGACCAAGTTTTTTAAACATCATAGTATAAATTGCACTGTAAAGTATACATACTAATCTCAAGTCAAAGGCAGGGTGAGGTAATGAGCTGCTTTAAGCTTCAAAAAGTCATCACAAGGGTTTCATTATAGGTTTTGTATATAGACGTAAAATCTGCAAAATAAGCTGGCAAATAAATACTGCAGTACAATATTAAAAATGCAAGGTGTGATCAAAATGTTTGCTGTAAGGTTGTCTGCTTCCAGCGGTGCTGCTGTTTCTGGATGCCACTGTGGGAGTGTCACTTTTGCATCTACTTTTTTGGGTCGAAATCATCACATCTCAACTTAAATTTGCTTTTGAGAAAGAGGATAAAGTTGCAAGGGGGGAAATCAAAAATCTCCTGCCTTTTTAACGTGCTGTATTCCAGTACGGTTCAGTTCTTTTATGGCAAATCTTCTCCCTCACATGTCTCTGGACATTACAGTAGAAATCTGCACTGACATTCTGACCCTGTAGGATGAATTAACAGTGCACAGCCCCATGCATGTTGAACAAGCACGCATATTGTTGTACTTCTAACTTGAAGAGATCCAATCCAAATGAAGCAGGAGCGGCTGGTCCTGGCTCAGCTTCGGCACCTGGTGAGCTCATCACTGGACCCGCTTCAGTTTGCCTACCAGCCTGGCATTGGAGCGGATGATGCCGTCATTCACTTCCTACATCGTTCCCTCGCTCACCTGGAGACCGCTGGAAGCACTGTGAGAATCATGTTCTTTGATTTCTCCAGTGCCTTCAACACTATTCTTCCCTCGGTCCTGAAGGACAAGCTGGAGAACTCAGGAGTGGACCATCACCTCACTACCTGGATTTTGCACTACCTCACTGACCGACCAGAGTATGTGAGGACTCAGGGCTGTGTGTCGAACAGGGTCGACTGCAGTACGGGGGCCCCACAGGGAACTGTTCTGACTCTGTTCCTCTTCATCATCTACACTGCAGACTTCTCCCACAACTCCACCCTGTGCTTCCTGCAGACGTTCTCTGATGACTCTGCAATAGTCGGCCTCATCACTGATGCGGATGACAAGGAGTACAGAGAACTGACCCAAGACTTTGTGGACTGGTGCCAGCTGAACTACCTCCAGATCAACACCAGTAAAACCAAGGAGCTGGTGGTAGACTTCCACAGGCACAAACATCCTCCACTGCAACCACTGAACATCCAAGGTATGGACATTGAGGCTGTGGACAGCTACAGGTACTTTGGTGTTCATCTGAACAACAAACTGGACTGGACTCATAATTCAGACGCCCTCTACAGGAAAGGGCAGCCTGTGCCTGCTGCGGAGATGCAGGTCGTTTGGCGTGGAGGGCCACTCCTGAAGACCTTCTATGACTCTATGGTGGCCTCAGCCACCTTTTACGGTGTGGTCTGCTGGGGTGGCAGCATCTCTGCCGGGGACAGGAAGAGACTGAACAGGCTGATCAGAAGGGCCAGCTCTGTTCTAGCTTGACCTAGAACATACAAATAAATACAAACTGCAGTAAAATATAACATTCTCAGTACTGATGCATAAACACCCATGAAACTACTGAGGAGTCCATCTACCTCACTGTGTGTGAATGATGAGGACAATGTTCTTATTTTTTGTTTGTTTATTTGTTTCCTTTTAAGGGTTTAGTCATAATGCAACACATATGAATAAAGAAAATGTTTTTAAAAATGGAAATATTTAGTAGGAATAAAACTTAAACGACAAAAATAATGTACAAATTGACAATTAAAAGTCGAGTGCTGCAGAATATCTATTGTTGATGTGTTAATGTGCTGAAAACGCTGCAACAAGGCAGTTCCTGTTGTAACGACGTTGCCTAAACTTCTTGATTTTTCCTTGTTTGACTGCTGTTTGTGTGTAGCTGTTTGGGAACTTAAAACTAACTGAGGATGATGGAATCAATGAGCACAATAACTTCAGAACCTTCTTCATGGCCCTAATGCTGCTGTTCAGGTAAGACTTTACTCCCTCTCTTCTTCTCCTGTTGACGCTCAGTCTTTTTCTCCTTAGAAGCAGAAGGACGGTAGCACTGATGTGCTATTGTATATGTTATCATATCTTCTATATTAATAATCTTCTATGTTCATATCAAGCCTCTTTTTTTTTTGTCTCTCATAGGAGTGCTACGGGTGAAGCGTGGCAAGAGATCATGTTGGCTTGCCTGGATAGGAAGGAGTGTGATCCTGAATCAGGGAATGATAAAAAAGAATGTGGCAGCACCTTCGCTTACACATACTTTGTCTCCTTTATCTTCTTGTGCTCTTTTCTGGTGAGAAAACCCACTGAATACACTTTACGCAGTTGATCAAAATATGGGTGATAGAGCAGGTCGCCAATCACAAGGTCGGTGGCTGCTTCAGTCAATGCGTCAAAGCATTCTTGGGCTAAATACTGAAACACTAAAAACTCCTATGCATCCATCAGTGTGAATGTTAGTTCAAAGTGCTTTGGTATAGATAAAAGCATTGTATGAATGTGTTTGATTAGGTGAAATTTGTACTAGAAAGTGCTTTAAGTAGGGCAAGAAGGCCACTATGTAAGCATTTCAGTCCATTCCACTCACCCGCCACTTTGTTAGGTACACCTATTCAACTGCTTGATAAAGCAAATATCTAATCAACTAATCAAATCACAGAGATTGAATGCATTCAGACGTGATCAAGAAAATCTGCTTAATGTGTCAGACGTGTGACACTTTGTTTTTGCCAGATTGGGTGGACGGGGTATTTCAGCCGTGAAATTCATTTCACCGTGATTTCCCCATACAGCCATCTCTAAGATATATAGAGAATGGTCAGAAAATGAGAAAATATTCAGTGCGTTGCAGTTCTCTGGGTACAAATGCCTTGCTGATGTCAGACATCAGAGGAGAATCACCAGACAGCTTCGATCTGATTGGAAGGCAAGAGTAACTCAAATAACCAGTCATTACAACCATGGTGTGTATGAGTATCTGTGAGTGTA